ATTAGTAAGGACAGATGAATATTGTTTTGGTGTAAGCGTCATCCATCACATCCAAACGTGACGGATCACGGCGGCCAATGCCTTTGACTCCGCCACACCTCGCCATCGCTTGCTTGTGCCAGATCCGCGTAGCCGCTGGACAGTCAGCGCCTGACCTTCAAGGACCGCTCTTACAGTCGCCCCCAGTACACATACAACGTTGCGCATGTAGCTGCAACTGTTGGACCAACGTTGGCGTGACATTGGTCCGACGTTTTATGTTTACTGAGTCATCACCACCACCAGTTGTAACCATCTGGCTTCAGGACTTCCCCTTGTTACACGGTTAAACAAAAAAAAACTAAACTATTTTAATTTGACCAGGTGTAAGGCCCAACTGCGCTATGTAGCTCTTTCTCAGAAGCGGCCTGGCCACAAGCGATAGCTCCATGACGTGGCTTATCATCACGTGGAAACGTATAGCAGCCAAATAATCTAAACGCACGCCGATTATAAATGTGGGGGGAAAAACCTGAGGTTCCTGGAGAAAAATCCACGCGACCATGGGGAGAACACGCAAACCCCAAATATACAGCAGCAGCAGGCATCGTCTGGGTCGGGATCGAACCCACGACACCTCCTGCATACCAGGCGAGGGAGTTAACATCTCCTAGCCACCGTGGCACCCCACCACGGAAAAGGAGGAGTGGGAAGAGAGAAGTGAAAGAATGATACATATGAGGAAAAGCAATGGAAGGCGCGGGGAAAAAAACGAGAGCATAGGGTCAGGAAAGATGAGGATAGCGAGGCAGAAGCTACATCAGGGCCTCGACGCTGCTACATGGAGTAGTGGGAGGGGAGGATGCCGCGGTGACGAGATTTTAACTACCTCGCCCTGTATACAGGAGGTCGTTGCTTTGATCCAGACCCCGAGTTTGCATGTTCTCCACGTGGCCCCGAGGGTTTTTTCTCGGTTTTCCCGCTCCGCATTTAGAATCAACATGCACTGCAGAGTATTTGGCAGCTATACGTTTCCACGTGAAAAGCCACGTCGCTGAGCTATCGTTTGTAGCCAGGTCGCTTCTGAAAAAGAGACACTCTGTGGGCCCTGACCTGGTAATATAACAGTGTAGTTGAGTTACTTTATTCGGAATGGTGGGGAGAGGGCGGGGGGGGGGCACACACAAGTCACGTGATTTACGGGAGACTTCAGCCGATTTAGATAAAATAGATAAAGTCACGTGCTTTACGAACGGCTTGAGCCGAGTTAGATATAGAGATATTGATGGGATGCCACCATGTCGAAAATATAAGCAGGTTTGGGCCTGGATAATGTTTAGATAGAGATACGCTAAACTCTAAAAAAACTATTTTTTTATTTTACCAGGTGAGGCCCAACTGAGCTACGTAGCTCTTTTTCAGAAGCGGCCTGGCCACAAATGAGAGCTCGACAAAATGGTTGATTACCACGTGGAAACGAACAGGAGCCCAATACTCTCCAAACGCGCGACGTTGACTCTAAATGTGGAGGGAAGGGAAAAACCCGGAGGGCCCGGAGAAAAATTTCACGCGACCACGGGGAGAGAGAAAGAGAGAAGTGAGAGTGAGAGAGGCACTTGCCCAAAAAAACACTCCAAATATTCAGCAAGCGTCAGGGTTCGGGATCGAACCCACGACCCTCCTGCACACCGGGCGAGGTAGTTAACATCTCCTGGCCACCGTGTTGATGCGAGGCCACCATGACGAAAGCTAAGCTAATAAAATAACACAATAATGTTATTTTATCAATTTATTATTTTATTCTCATTCTACGTGACTTTACCGAAAGAACCAAAGAAGATGAATCATTGCAGTCACGAAAGCTTTAAATCGAATGTATTTTTTTGCACGGCAAGTGAGCTGTGACGTCAAATCTGTCACGTGACCCGCGCGTATGGGAAGCGTAACGCGTTGTAGTGTAGCGGTTAGCGCGCCGCGCTACGAACCCGGCGACGCGAGTTCGATTCCCGCTCACGGCCACCACCGGGGACGATTATTTTTTTTCTACCGATCCTGGGCTTCCCCTAGGTCGACTCAGCCTCAAACGAGTAACTGGTGTGGTGTGTGAACATCGCCACTTGGGGAGACAAAGGCGGCCGGGCGCGGTGAATCCAAAGTCCCGGGCGAATCCGGGTAGTAAAGCTAGTACCTAATATATTAAATAAAAATAAATGCAACTGAGAGCATCCTTGAAAAGTGCTTGGATGGAATGATGCACCACCGTGTAAAGTATAAGAACGGCAAAATTTCGATTGAGAGCTTTCGTGACTGCAAGGATTCATCTTCTTTGGTCCTTTCGGTAAAGTCACCACGTGGAATGAGAAAAATAATAATAAAATAAGACAATTCTCACGACGTTTCGGCCACAACACAAGTAGCCTTCTTCAGGTGAAAGAACAGAACTGTCGTCCCGACAGGTCGGGACGACTACTTGTGTTGTGGCCGAAACGTCGCGAGAATTTCATTGTCTTATTTTATTTTATTGTTCTCATTCTACGTGACTTTACCGAAAGAACCAAAGAAGATTTAAGAACGGCTGTTCATATACTCGATATAGACTGCAGGGAGAGGGAGAGAGAGAGAGAGAGCGCGCGCACACAGCTGCTTTTGGTACAGGAGTAAGTACTTCTATGGCTCCAACGCGTCCTAAGTGACCCGTCCCTTCTCCGAGTCGCGGTCAAATGAATCCCCAACTCATGAGGTTGACCCCCACAAATCCAGCAGAGGATTTGGCGAAAGGGGAGCTCTGATGGATTGCCCCTACGCGACAATGAACTCTGGCGAGGTGGGGAGAAAAACCGCAAACGTTTGCGAATTTGCGGGGGGGAGGGGGGAGCCCCCCCCCCCATTTGTTTGCGAGCACCTATTATGGCTTGCGATAAGTCACACGCGTACACACACGTGCGCAAAGGCAAAGACCCCCTCCCCACCCCGCCGTGTAGCCTGTAACAGACTGTTGGGGCAAGTGCTGTTAGCGAGTAGCAGCACCTATGAAGGCTACCGGCATTGTGGTACCACGAGAGGGTTGGGTGGCCAGCACCACGCCCCGGCCGCCTTTGTCTCCCCCGGTGGCGATGTTTACGCATCACATCACACCAGGTACTCATTTGAGGCTGAGTTGACCTAGGGGTTGCCCAGGTCCGCGGTTCAGACCGCATGCCTCGAGCGCTCCCAACATACTTACACACACACACGTACAACAACACATTTATACAAATGCACGTATCCCACGTACCGTATATGTTACATCACGCATTCAAAGATACGCACCGATAAACAATCGCATACCGCAAATACACACACACGCGCACGTGTACACGCATAATAACAATCTTTATTCATACCGGAGGAATCCGATGAGCTATAAAGCTCTTTTTCACACGTGTAAAAAATACGCACAAAGCACACGCACACACACACACAAGGTATACATTCACATATACACACACACACAGAGACAAATATGGTACATTCAAAGACAAAGACCCCGTCGTTATATGCATGTAGAATACACATCGTATGGGCAAAATGTTGTCAGACGACACAATTTTTTTTCTTAAAAAGGTTATAAGACAAAAGACGCACAAAGACAAAGTCCCCCCGTGTAGCACCCACAGAGGTGTTGGGCCAAGGTGCCGTTAGCGGCTGCAGGAGCGGCAGCGCCACTGTGGGCTGGCACACGAGGGCTGTGGGGTTTGGCCAGCGCCGCGCACGGCCGCCTTTGTCTTCCCCAGTGATAAATGTTTACCACGCAATCGCACCACGTCCACCAAAGACAAAACGACGCAACAAAAGAAAACCAAGAAACGACGTACGGAACGTAGTAAAGAGAAAGAACCCTCCACCCCCGGTATAGGCTCTATAGGCGGTTGGGGGCAAGTGCTGTTTGCGAGCACCTATTAAGGTTATAACTGGAAATAGTCACAAACACAGCGACATGTATTCACACAAAGACAAAGATCCCCCGTGTAGCCTTAACATCATGTTTGAGGCAAGTGCTGTTTGCGAGCACCTATTAAGGTTATAACTGAAAATAGTCACAAACACAGCGACATATATTCACACATAGACAAAGATCCCCCGTGTAGCCTTAACATCATGTTTGAGGCAAGTGCTGTTAGCGAGCACCTATTAAGTCGAGAACGGCACACGAGGCGCTGGGGTGGCCAACACCACTCCCGGCCGCCTTTGTCTCCCCCAGTTACCACCTCTCCCCCCCCCCACCGGAACGTGAATAAGATACGCACGAAATATCCACATTCATCATACATTCACACGCATTCATTATATAAACACACACACACACAAACACGGGCCTGCGTGTGCAAGCACACGTTAAAGGAACTGAACGTTGTTGTTGTTGTTCAGACAATACGCAACGCATCTTCAACATCAACCGATTGTATATCACCGAAGATGTAGTTGTTGTTGTACACATTACACACGACCTGCCATGAATATACACAGCCTGCGGTATCGACGGTACGATCCGTAACAACAGTAATGTGTGTATACGCCGTAGTGTATAATGTCGAAGACTGCATTTACTATAACCGACGCAAGTGTACAACACTCAAGCGCATGACACCCACCTACACAGGCTACACGTACGATATCCGCACGAGACTCTCATTGTGCACGATCTGTAACGCAGTCTATAATAATAATATAGACTCACATGCACCATGGCCAACACGACGATCTAAAAATACAGTCTATACTGATATAGACTGCATGCACTGTGGCCAACACAACAGTGTACATCGCTCACTCGCATCACACACACACACAAATCTGTAAGAACAGAGTCGATCGTAAATCCTGCGCGTTACCAACCAAGAACACATCGCTCGCTCGCTCACTCGCGTTACACACCAGCTGCAAATCAATACAGTCTACAACAATGTAATAATATAGACTGTCTATGATAATATAGACTGTGCGAGGAGATGCGTAGTCGAACCGCGTGCACAAGAACCCACCTGCGTTGTCGGACTCGCTTGAGGATCCCTTTAAATCACCGACGAGAGAGAGAGAGGACACCCGCCTACCAAACCCGCGCACGTTTTGATTCTTCACACACGCAGCACGCGAAACGAGTCGACTAAATTAAAGCGAGCTCGATTTATTCTCGATATTGTTCGAGCAGGTTTCTTAAATAAAGATGTTATTCCTCGTACCAGCTGCCGGGGTGATCTCAGAAGAACCCGAAACCCGAAAATAATAATAACAATAACAAAGATGATCAATGTATTCCTAGATAGCGACTACAAAGAGAAGCAGCGCCTTCGTCGAGTTCGTAACTGTTGTTGAATGCGTTTGCCGCGACTTTGCAGAGACTCCCTTTGGATACACTGCCCGCCTCTTTGCCGTCTGTCTCTGTCTGTGTGCTGGTGGTGGAGGAGGAGGAGGAGAGAGAGGGGGAGGGGAGAGTGGTGGTGGTGGCGGAGGAGGAGGAGAAGGGGGCAGTGCGTGTGAGAGACGGAGGGGATGGGAGAATTCGGAGGAGTGGCGTGGAGGCGCGGCAGAAGGAATGGAGAGGGAGGAGGATGGTTGGCTGGTGGTGATGGTGGTGGTAGGAGGGGGTGGGAAAGAGAGCAATAGGTAGAAGAGAGTGGAAGGCGAGAGAGAGAGAGGGGAAGGGGGAGACATTGAGAGGAGGAAAAAAGAAAGAAGGAGCGGTGACGGATGGGGAAATATGGAGGTGGTTGGAGGAGAAAGAGGAGGCAAGAATCAGAATCTTTATTTAGACCGAAGGAGGAAATCCGATGAGCTATAAAGCTCTTTATCATAGGTGTACAACATAGGTGTACAACAACAATCACACACACAAAAACTACAGCGGTGCAAAGTATAAGAAATGTAAACCACTAACTTAAAAAATAAACAATTTATTTTTTAAACCTTAACAGGTAAAGCCCGTTGAGTTATTAAGCCATTAGGTTGTAGGTGGTTTCGGGGGGGGAAGGGAGGTTAGAGGAGAGATTGTGGGGAGGGAGATGGATTGAAAAATGTTGAGATGGGGGAGGGAGGAGATGGAAGATGGGGAGGGAAACGAGGGACATGAATGACAGAGGTGGGATATGGAGGATAGAGGGGGAGATGGGGGGGGGGGAGTGAAAGAAATGAGATAGAGGAGAGCAAAGAGGGGGGGGGGCGGGAGATGTGAAGAGAGGCGGAGGAGAGATGAGGGAGATGGGAAGATCGGGGAGGAGAGGAGGACGAGTGGGGGGGGGAGGGGGGTGGCTGTGTGAGATGGAGGGGGAAGGTGTCAGAGGGAGGCTGCTGCTGGTAACGCGAGTCCAGTCCAGATGTCCAAACCCGTGGTTTCATCTCAGCCTCGCCCTCCCCTCTCTATTCATGACGGCTAGCGGAGGGCTTTTGTGAATCTCTCTCTCTCTCTCCCACCCCCTTTCTCTCCCGTTTCTCTTCTCTCTCTCTCCTCTCCCCACCCCCCATTCTGTCCCACCCCTCCCCTCTTTAGATTCAAAGAAGTCGACTTTGCTTCGCTGCCCCAAACGCTTTTTTTTCGGCTCAAATGTTCAGTTTAGAGTGGTGCTTGTGTGTGTGTGTCTGTCTGTGTGTGTCGCTAAGGGTGTCTGTCTGTGTTTCTTTGCCCGTGTGTGTGTATTTGTGTCTGTGTGTCTAGCGTGCGTATGTGTCTGTGTGTCTAGTGTCCGTATGTGTGTCTGCCTGTGTCTGTGTGTGTCGCTAAGTGTGTCTGTCTGTGTTTCTTTGTCCGTATGTGTGTTTTTGTGTCTGTGTGTCTAGTGTCCGTATGTGTGTCTGCCTGTGTCTGTGTGTGTCGCTAAGTGTGTCTGTCTGTGTTTCTTTGTCCGCATGTGTGTCTTTGTGTCTGTGTGTCTAGTGACCGTATGTGTATGTGTCTGTGTGTGTCTGTGTGTGCGTATGTGTGTCTATGCGTCCGTATGTGTCTGTGTGTCTGCCTGTGTCTGTGTGTCGCTAAGGGTGTCTGTGTTTTTTTGTCCGTATGTGTGTCTGTGTGTCTAGTGTCCGTATGTGTGTGTGTCTGTGTGTCCGTATGTGTGTCTGTGTGTCCGTATGTGTGTCTGTGTGTCTAGTGTCCGTATGTGTGTGTGTCTATGTGTCCGTATGTGTGTCTGTGTGTCTGCCTGTGTCTGTGTGTGTCGCTAATTGTGTCTGTTTGTGTTTCTTTGTCCGTATGTGTGTCTTTGTGTCTGTGTGTCTAGTGTCCGTGTGTGTGTGTGTCTGTGTGCCCGTATGTGTGCATGTCTGTGTGCCCGTATGTGTGTCTATGTGTGTTTATGTCTGTATATGTGTCTGTTTGTCCGTATATGTGTCTGTGTGTCCGTATGTGTGTCTGTGTGTCTAGTGTCCGTATGCGTGTCTATGTGTGTCTGTGTGTCCGTATGTGTGTGTGTGTGTCTGTGTCCGTATGTGTGTCTGTGTGTGTTTGTGTGTCCGTATGTGTGTCTGTGTCCGTATGTGTGTCTGCGTGTCCGTATGTGTCTGTGTGTCTATGTGTCCGTATGTGTGTGTGTGTGTCTGTGTGTCTAGTGTCCGTATGTGTGTGTGTCTGTGTGTCTATGTGTCTGTTTGTGTGTGTGTGTCCGTATGTGTGTCTGTGTGTCTAGTGTCCGTATGTGTGTCTGTGTGTCTATGTGTCCGTATGTGTGTCTGTGTGTCCGTGTGTGTGTTTACGTGTCTTTGTTTTTCTTTGTCTGTGCTGTGTGCTGTGTGGCGCAGTGGTTAACGCACTGCGCTTCGATCCCCTCCTAAGGCCACCAACATCAGTAACGATTCCCCGAAGCGGTCCTGGGCATCCCCTAGGTTGACTCAGCCTCAAATGAATGCACAGTTGCGATGTCTAATCATCGCCGCTAGGGAGACGAAGGCGGCCGGGCGTGGTGGCTGGCCACCAACCACATATGTACGTGAACTTCTTTCGCACCGTACGTAGCCAAACCAGAGTGCGTCACAGGTGCTCGCTAACGGCACTTGCCCCAATAGCCTGTCAAGGCTATACGGTGGATCTTTGTCTTTGTGTGCGTTTCTGTTGTGTGTCCGCGTGCATTGGGCTGTGGATGTGTGCGTGCCTAAGCGCGTGTGTGTGGGACCGTGCCGGTTCGTGTATTCGTATCGATCTGCGTGTGTGTGTGTGTGTTGTGGATGCCTGTGGTTATGTAAATGCAGAGCGGGTGGTGCAGAGTGGTTAGCGAAATGCGCTAGGAACCCCCCCCACCGGCGAACCCGAGTTCGATTCCCGTTCGCGACAAATAACAGTGGCAAAACTAAAAAAAATTAAAATTTGCGCCGAAAAAATCTGACCACCGCCACCACCGACCCTAGGTGCGTGACGTCATTTATGGACGGCCCCTTTGTCCTGTGTGGGTGCGTGCCACACAGTGGCGAGCACAGGTGGTGCATCTGTCAGCCGGTCAACTTGCGTAGCACCTCGGTGTGATCCCCACCTCCTCCTCCTCCTCCTGAGCAACGAACCGAGGTTTCAAGGGGCCGCCCATAAATGACGTCACGCGATTTGGGACGATTTTTTTTACTCCTCCCCCCACCCCACCCTTCGTCACACGACGTCACAAAAAGTCAGACCCCCTCAAAAATAAAACACGTATAAAAATCGCTTTAAACTATTGTCATTGTAGTGCGCATTTAATGTGGCGCTGCACTCTGATGTTGTAGGAGAAAACATTTATTTAAAAAAAAGTCTATTTAATTAACTAGAACGTGTTGTCTATAGTTATTTAAAGTTGCGCATTTTGATGTGACGTCACGTTTCTCAACCCCCCCCCTCCCACCCACTCGTCACACATCGTCACAAATGTCTGATCCCCCCTCCCCCCCCCCCAGGTGCGTGACGTCATTTATGGACGCCCCCCAAGAGTAAACCCAGCCGGGCACGGGCGCTGTTGTGCGCTGTTTGTGTTGTGTGGGGGAGCGGTAGTGTAGTGGTTAGCGCATTGCACTACGAACCTGGCCACCGAGTTCGATTCCCGCTCACGGCGAACGCCAGTGACGTTTATCTGAACCGGTCGTGGACCTCACCTAGGTCGACTCAGCCTCAAATCAGTACCTGGTGCGGTGTGGTAGTAAACATCGCCACTGGGGAGACAAAGGCGACCGGGCGTGGGTGCTGGCACACCCACCCCACCTCGTGTGCCGTGCCGGCCTTCATAGGTGGTGCTCGCTAACAGCACTTGCCCCGACAGTCTCTTAAGGCTATACGGGGGATCTTTGTCTTTGTGTTTAGTCGGTGGGTGTATTCTGAGTCGGTGTGTGTGTGTGTACGTGTGCTGAAGGGTGGGGGTACGCTTGTGTTTATAGGCAGTGTGGTGGGTTACTCCATCGCATGGCATACGTTCCAGTACAAACATCGCCACTGGGGAGACAAAGGCGGCCGGGCATAGTTCTGACCACCCACCCTCATCGTGTGCCGTGCCGGCTTTTTTTTGTAGGTGTTCGCTTCCAGATGTTTCCACGAAGGTCTGTTGAGGCTATGCGGTGTGGGCATTTATGGCGTGTGTGTGTGTGTGTCCGTGTGAATGTGTCTTTGAGTAGGTGTGAATGTGTGCGTTTGTGGTGGTGCCTGTGTTTGGGTGAAGCGTGGAATCCCTCTAATGGAACATCTGCGCCGCTTAGAAACATTAATCCTGGCCTGCCTACGATCCATCCATCCTGGGTTTAAATTCGCAGGGTGGATTGTGCGAGGAGCCCAACACTTCCTTGAACGATCTGGACACATTCCCATCAGTGAGTGAGCTCCACCGGCAGGCGAGGCTGCGTTGCCTGGGTCATGTAGCCCGCAATGCCCAGCCACCGCATGCCCGGGCAACTTCTGTTTGTCCGGATGAGAGGGGGTGAAATGGTCACGGCACGGGCTGGAGAAGAGATGGCCTGACGCGATGCAGAAGAATGTGGAGTTGAGATGCCGATCAACGGTACCAGCGGTGTCAAGATCTGCCTCCGTGGAGGGGGCTCGTAAAGGACGCAACTGGGCAGTTGAAGGAAGTCAACAACAGAGGTGCAATGCTCACAACAACAAGTGGATTATAATTATTAGTCGGAGTCAACGCTGCACGTTGCCACAAGGAGGGAGCACATGTGGTGGCATCTGCCGGTCATCTCAGTCAGTCAATCCACGGCAGGACCTGGTGTCTGTCCGGTGACCTCCTTCCCGCGAGCCTTTGACACTTCACGTGGGCTCATAGTGCACCTAGCCTGGCACAAGCGCCGTGTGTCGACGTTACCAGCACTTAGTGGCGAATGGCGGCTGCTGTTGTTGTTTTATGGGTGGGTAGGTGTCTGTGTGTGCGTAGGTCCTTGGGTGGAAGCGCGCACGCGCGTGTGTGTGTGGATGGAGTGCGGGGGATGGGAGCGAGTGTATGTGTGTGTGTGGGTCTCGCGTGTTGGGAGTGTGTGTGTGTGTGGGAGTGTGTGTGTGTG